GTGGCTTCCTTCGTACTAGATCACCCCTATTGATGACATTCATATCTGGGATGTGACTTCTAACAGGGCTGAAAATGTCTGCATTAAGGTTTAGCTGCAGGGTCTGGAAGGAACTTGCCATTGTCTGGGGCTGATTAAGTCGATGGTTAATGTGTCCTCCTTGTGTAAAATACAATAAATCATCCTTTAATGTATTTAATTTGCTTTGAAATTTACTAATGTTTTCCATTTGTATACTCTGGCTTTCTCTCAATTGTTGGAGACTTTCTTCATGTTTATTTTCTTTTTCCTCCATCCACTGCTGTAGTCTCTCTTCTTGTTTCTTTTCTTTTTCCTCCAACAACTGCTGTGATCTCTCTTTTTGTTTCTTTTATTTTTCCTCCAACAACTGCTGTAATCTCTCTTCTTGTTTCTTTTCTCGTTTTTCTTGTTTCTTATGCTGTTCTTGTATTGCTGCCATCAAATCTGCTAAGCTGTAGTTTGATTTGCCACCTCTCGTTTCCATCTTCTTTTTTTTATCCCGCTTCTGACACCAAGTTGTTACACCTCTGTGTTCGTTGGTTAATTTCCCGTAAAAATTCTTCCCGAGGAACTTCAGCAATACAAGTCCTTTCTTAAATAAAACTAGTTTATTCTTCCTCAATACACAGAATTTCCACAGTCACTTTAACTTAAACGCACGCTATAATTCACAACGATTTACACACTTTACTTACGTGTTACCAGAATCACGTGACTTCCGCTATCGTAACAATATTAATTATTCCCTACTGCAGTTTAGAATTTAAAACGAGTTGCTTTGATCTTTTCACAGAAAAAAAGTCTTCATTTCAATTTGGATCAAAATGGAAACAAATGATTCAGTGTTTTTAGAGAACAATTTGGAGAACAATTTCACTTTTACTCCCTAAAATATTGAATGCTTCATGACCACCCCCTGAAATAAATTTTGTATTTATATATAATTATTCTTTGGAAAAGAAAACACACATAAACTGTTTTTAATTCCAAGTAACTAGTTTTAACTAAATGCTGAGAAGAAATGTTATATACGTAAAAAAAGGGAAACAAAAAGAGTGACAAAGACAGCCTCAAAAATGTCGAAACGCTCTTGCGCAAGTCGATTTGATTTTTTACACACGATGTAGACCTTAAACTTTGTACTGACTTCCAGTTATGATTACTTACATCTCTAACTCGCATGAGGCTTTTTCGTAAAGGACATTTGAAAGTCAGACAAGAGGGTCGTGGGAAAACAACCAATCACGTCCTTCATTTCAGGAGGCGGCGGCCCAAATTCCGTAAGCTGTTCCGATACTCTCAAATCGAGGAAACGTTTAGAAAACTGATAATATCTACATTTCGCAACTATTTGGCCTTCTCACAAGATTAAGCTTAAAATAAACTTGTATAGTGGTGAGTGTTTGTTTGTTGGTTAAAAGTTAACGGTTTCTAGCGTTCTAAATCCGTAGACGTACCGCTCTGCCACTGGGGGGTGGGGATAGAGGTGAAAGAGTTTGGGAAGTTGAGACGAAACAAATTGACAGGATAACTAGGAGAACGAAGAAATTAGAAATATGATTTGCATAATATGCTATAAATAGTAGCTTTTAAAGATACGTCTCAGAGATAAACATATGAGGTTCAAGAATAAGTGTAGTTGCTATTCTAATTTTAGGAGTATTAGGAATGAAATGGATAAGTTTAGAACACTAGTTGATACGGAAGACTATGATATAATCGGAATTATTAAAATTTGGTTAGATTTGGAGAATACTGATAACATGAGTTACTTTGAACGTTCAGGTTATAAGACATTTAACACTGATAGAGTTTTTAGCCGCGGCATAGCGACACATAGAATGGCTTTGAGTTTTTTCAAGTACAAACATTTAGCTCTTAGCTCCATCTTTTGATCTAATTACAGCCGCGGCTATTGAGGATTCTCTCACTTTTTTTTTCTAAAGATTGGGAGGGGTGCCTCTTTATATAATGAATGAATTGCATTGCATGTTGGAAATTAAAACGTAAAAAAGGTAAACTTGAGGTTGAACATATGTTAGTTGCAAAGGGGATTTAAGAGTAAAATTGGTAATTGCTATATACTACCGATAAGACAGTTGATGTCAATGATAAATCGCATGATGAGCTCAGGAATTTTACTAACAAGAATACTGATGCAATAATTATGAGTGATTTTAATTTGAGACACTTTGAGGAGGATTGTATAGGGTGAAGTAGAGATGGGGAGAAATTTCTTGAATTTCTTGAAATTCCCTGACGGAAATAACTAATACGCAGAATACAACGAAGAACCGCTTCCATTAAATCAATCAATAATCCCAGAATGGCTATGGTATTAGGATTTTTTAAGAGTTTGATGATAGCTATTATAACTTCTTCAATAGGTATGAATGGATATAATGAGATAAAACCAAAACTAAATAAACAGAACGCTATCCAGCTGTAGGTTTAGCTGACCATCTGTGGGATTCTGAGAGTCTTAGGTACTATATAAGCGGCTAAGTACCGCAGTAAAAGGTCCATCTAAAAGTTTTTCCATAAACCATAACAAACCTTCTATGATGATTCATATGCTGAAACAATAGACCTTACAGAGGAACTGGGTTTATGCATTATATTGATACCATAATATTCCGGTATTCACGAGTATAAAAGGAGTCGATTTGTTGTCATTTTCTTAGTGCAAAACTATACAATGGGCTATCTGCACTCTGTCTACCGTGGGGAAGTGAACCTCGGATTTTAGCACCCACTGGGAGACAAAAGGTAAACATGTAGTACAGTTAATTTTACTTCTTTAATAGGAATACTTGTAGAGAGTCTAATAAAAGAAGCTTTCAAAAATAACTTAGTGAAGTATGATCTCATAAAAAAATTCAACAT